AATCTTTTCTTTTTCTTCAAATAAAAATCGAATCTCTCGAGATTGGACAAGAAAATCTCGCGCGTTTAACGACTCCCCCCTCCCCTCCTTCCCCTTCTACAAAGGGGGTTGCGACGCCCCCATTAGCGCGAGAAATCCTCGGAGAAGCTCTTGGTAAATCTCTATCGCGCGCGTCCACGAAATTTCGATAAGGGCTGGCCGGTGCATAAACCACGGGGATATATTCCGTATGACGAATGCACGAATTCATTTCGATCTCCCCTGCATTCCTTATCGATGCACGCAACTCGAAATCACGATCTGATCGTGACGGAATATTTTAAATGCTTGTGTCGTGCGTGAGAAGGAGGGGAGGGGGTTGAGGGAAGGTTGGGAGGGGCGTCGTTACTTTTATTCGCGCTCGCTATTATCGATTGATGCTTGTTTTGGATAAGATTTTTATTAAATTCGCGTGTAATTCGAGGAAATGGAGGGTATATGAGAATTAAAAAGTTAATATATTTGGGGGAATTAAGAGCTATGTAAGGATATTTTCTTTTTATTTTCAAGATAATTTATTTAACATATCGATTTGTCAGTATTTTTATTTTTATATTCGTGGACAGGATATTTTTTATTGAGAAAGTAGTTAATACTGAATTTTAAAAAAAGAAAATCTATTCGAAGTATTGCAAGTTAGAATATCTTTCAACTAAGTTTTACTTTTTGAGTGAAAATAATTCGACTATCTTGCTTGGAGCAATATTCGAAGAAAATATGAATAATTTGTGAATTATTGGAATTATTGATAAGGGATTTTTATTTATCGAGAAGTTTTTTTGCATTTGATAGTGTAAAAAGTGAATAAACGCAATGAATAATCGATTGATAATTTTTAATGGACAAAATTAAATGACAATTTAAACATTTTTGTGCATTAATATTGAAAATCTGAAAAAGCTATATCATCTTGCTGAATCCAGTTGTATAAATGTTTTAAAAGAAATTAATCCCTTGAAGGTGATTCAACTTTCTCGGTAAAATATCTTCTCTAGCCTCTCATTTCGATAAAGATGCCACTTCTTGTTCTATTTTACACTTTATGCTTCTTATTATATCTTCTACTTACAAATTCCATTAGAGTTACAATATTCACTTTTATCTCGGAAAATATTCAAATGTACGATTGTTGTTGCCCTATTTCCTATTCACAGATAATTTTTTATTAAGCGAATTTTAAAACAGGAAATGAATCCAATGTTGCAAAGAGAACAGAGAAGATACATTAAAAATGCCAAAGTCTCCAAACTCGTTCTTTCATTCTTGCAAAAAGATAAAATTCGTGCTGTTTGATGTAAATTAAAATTTATATTACTTATTTACTCCGAATATTATAAAAAAAAAGTGTTTATTAATTTTCATATTTTCATTTTAATTCATTAATTGTACGTATATTTCGGTAGAATTGAATAATAATATAGAATAATAAGAAAAAAAAACGTTTTCGAGAAAAATAAATTTTAAACATTTTCCATTTTCCATTTTATGAATGGAATAAATAAAATACAAAGTCCTAAAATTTTTATGTTCGATGTAAAACAAATCATTATCAAAAGAATATTTCTGTTATTTTGTCAAATTAGTTTAGATTCCACGTGCCATAAATTTCCATTTCGAAATAAAAAATAAAATGATTCCGTTATATAAAATCTTGAAAATAGGTGGCCCAAAGTAATTGTTTTGTTACTTAAATGGATTTTCAAAATAAAATGTTATTCCTATTCAATGAATAACAGTTAACATAGAGTGGAAACATTAAAAGTGGGTAAGCAGCATTGGCCGTTATCGCCAATGCGGATTTTCAATCTTTTTAAATCTCTGGAAAAATGACAAAAAATATTTATATTCATTGGACCATTCACAGATAAAACGAATTGTCCTATAGATAACAAGTAGTGTGCAATTTTGAATGGAACAGTGTTAATACTTATTTATATGAATAATAAAACGTTCAACGATAAACAAATGATCAGAATATTATCTTTTAATTTATATCTCAAAATTGGGAGCAGAAAAAAAATTTATAACACTAATATTGTATTATTCGATCAATATACAAGTTGAAACACGTATTTTGCTTTCTTTTTTCTTTTTTTTTTTTTTTTTACATACCATTTAATAGAGCATTTCATATTAATTACGATTTCAAGATTGTTCAAAGTCAATGAAATAGCGTAAAAAAAAAGATATAACAATTAATTCATTAATTATCTAATTCAAATTCACTATTCTGAACACTCTCTTCGCGAATCAATAATATATTTCCAAGACCTTCGATCGACGAAACGTATTCAAAATTCGAAATCCAGCATAAGCATCGAAGGGAAGAGAAATATACGAAAACTGGTGGTGAATATCCACCGTCGCGACGCGATACGATCTAATCAAAAATCCACGAGTCCAGATCTCTTCAATTACCCTTCGGCCTTCCTCGGTAGCAGGAAGGAAGGACTAGGCACGGACGAACCAACAAACGAGGATCGGGGCTGCTTGTAATTGCAAACCCTAACACGACCCGATACAACCCGTGTTATCTCTAATAACAGAACTGTCATGCATCAAACTTCTC